CACGCACGCAGGCAGGGGAGGCAGGAGAAAGTTAACTACCGGTGTAAGGACTATAATTAAGGCACAGCCCAATCGCCTGGGACCGGTGACGAGGTCCAGAAGCCGGGCGCAGATGATGGATGGCGTATAAAAGAGACTCTCTCATGGACTGGCACGTAACCCTGACGAAGTCGGAAGGAGTCCGACGAAAGCTTGGTGTTTTTATACAATTATATTTACTTACTGTATATCTGTATATATATGTACAGACAATTTAGAATACATAATGGAAAAAAGAGTGCTGAAAGTTAACAAGGTTGATACTATATGGTATAAACTATTACAGAATCTATTTGTTCTGCTTCAGATGCTGCAAAGCCTCCTCCCAGAAGGTAAGAAACAAAATTGGTCGTGGAGAGGATATGTAGCATCCAAGACAATACTGCAGACCCTGGTCAAGCAGCTTATATGCTATGTCTGGATAGAAAGAAGTGAACCTCCAATAATCTTTTATGCCATCCTCACCATTTCTGCACATCCTTCCTGTCCGAAACCTCTTCTCATGACACAGAAAATGCAGACACTGCTGTTTCCCCAGTGTCTCACAAGCTAACCTGCTCATCAGCCGCACAGCCAAAAACTTGATACTACTACCTTGCATAAAAGTATCTCCTAATTTTAATGTACATGTGATGTATGCTTTAGTATATAGCAGGAAATATGTAGGAGGCAGTCGGGAAGAGTGTAACCTCATAGGGGTTACATGGGGAACGAAGAGAATATTTTGGGTTGGAACTTTAGAGAGAACCAAGTTTTGATAGCTTCTCTCCCTGCTTATTGCAATAAATGAAACAAAAGGCCTTTACTGTGTCTTGGCTGGTCATTGGTCAGGCGAGCTTGCCTCTGGTCACAAAGGAAAGTAGCCAGAAGCACATAACAATTTCATATACCTGGGGAAAATGATGGTAGTTTATTGATTGTCCTTGCATATTTTTCTTGTCATCAGACTTCAGTATTCTAAAATTTGTGAAGGAAAAGAGATTTATATCAGCTGGACTAAATCAATCCTGATGATTTAATGAATATCTTTCTGATCCTAATATTCCTTTACTTGAATTGATTGAATGAATGAGGGAGGGGGTAATAATTATACTGACACATCACTTGTTGGATGTTTATGAAGTGAATGAAACAGGGAGCAAACTTTGATGTTTACTCTGACACCCTTTATATACCAGAACATATACAAAGTTTTAATGATATTCAGTAGCAAATACGTTTCATGTGAAATAACATATTTTTAAAAAACATAATCTAATATAAGCTAATACATGACTGAAGAATGCTCTCATTCAAAACAAAATGTTGAAACACTAATGTGATTTTGAAACTTGTATGTAACAATATTCAAAATTATGAGGAATTTCAAATGATTTTGGTGGTTACTTTCCTTATTGTTTCCTAGAGAAGATACGTATGTATGATAGGATTCCTTTCCAACATAAGTTATCAACATTAAACCTGTACTACCTGAATATAATACAACATAGAATCTGTACTATCATTTAAAATTTCAATGATAATATATATTTTTTTACATTAGGGACTTTAGGAAGAAAGGGAAGATTATGTAAATCAACACGAAAAAAATCAAATTTATCTTAACCTAACAGAAAAATTCTGAAAGCGGTAGGGTTGCCAGGTGTCCACTATTTGAGTGGACAGTCCACTTTTTTCACATTATGTTCACTATTTTTTTTCACAAAATAGTGGACATTTTTTTTATTCAAAAGCTTTATGATGAAATGGTACGTACAGTCTACTTTTTTTTACTACTTAAACCCCCCCCCCGCTTGTCTGCTATTTTTTGGAAGCAGACCTGGCAACCCTAGAAAGCGGTTGGGATGAATATGGAGCCACACCAACTTAGGCAACCTCAAGAACTTTAACATTTGAGAGGAGACTTTTTTCTGGCAAGAAAAACCAAAACTTCCACTTTATGCAAGGAGAACCAATAAAATAAAAATATATTATTCCTGTGCAAGTTTGCACAAAATACAACTAAAAACATGAAATATTCTGTTTCTGCTGAGGCCAAATTTGTGTGTGATTTCTTCACAATACTCTCAACATAATTTTAAGATGAACTAAAATAAGATTATGCTGATTCTAGACTTTTAAGAATTTTTTACACAAAAACATGGGGAGAATAAAAAAAATCAAACAAATGCAGCAAATAAAAAAACTTATTCCTACTCTCCACATCTCTATAATGTATGCACATAACAAAACACCAAATGGGGATAGAAATAATCTTTATTTAGCCAAATTGAAAGGAGGGAAGAAAGAAAGTGGGTGCAATTAGAAAGGAATAAGAAACTGAAATGTATTTACATTCCCCTGACAGGAATGTGAATGATGTCCATTTTACAATAGCTTGTAAAAAAATGCCATTTCCAGCAAGTACTAATCAACCCCCTTAGTGTCAACACAAGCTTGCTCTGTTAGTTCAGCTTCTGTTCTGCGTCAGGGCAGTGGGAAGGCCAGAGCTCAGCAGGCATGCTTGGGCAGGATTGTCACATGCTCCTGTTCCCCACCTCCTATGATGTCCAATGATTCCAGTCTGCTCAGGCGCTCCTGGCTTCTTCCAAGGACCTCTTCTAGCTGTCCACTGAGTGCCTGGATCTTTTCTAGTTCTAGTTGAAGGATCTGTTCTTGTCTGGAGTTGGTGAGACCACGCACAAAAGCAAGGAGATTAGGACAAAATGTACCAACTTGTTCTGAACACAATATGAATCCTACAAATTGTAACAATAACATCACTACTATACTGACAGGAAGAAAAGAGTGGAAGCTCCCCAATCCTATCCAGCACTGTGAACAACAATCTTTTTTAGATATGCAGTGAGTAATAGGAAAACATATTCCAATCTTTTTTTGCAACTAGAAAAGGATAATAAATTATTTTCCTCACCTGTCAGGATGAGCATGACACTTCACCAAACTGCAATAGAGTTGCTTTTCTACTTTCAGAGTTTCATTCAGCTTCTTCTTCTCTGCTATTACGCCCTCCAACATCACCAGTAACTGCAACATGAGGAGTCCACTTCAATTGGCAATAAATGTTGATTTTATTGCTTATATTTAAGCTTACTACAAGTTCCCTATTGGTTCTGGTGACTGCCTGGACTAGTCACTGCAGTTTTCTTGTCAGGTTTTTAAAGTGGTTTACCATTGTTTTCCTCCTGGGAATGAGAGAGAGGGACTGGCCCAGAGTCATCCAGCTCACTTTATGCTTAAAATAGGAAACACTCATAATGTCTAGCCTGATGCTTTAACTGCTATACCAAACTTCCTCTCAATGTATCTCAGCAATACCATAAAAATAAAAATAACACAATTTACAGAATCCCATTTCCTTTGAACAAAAGCAGGACAAAAGCTTAAGTCATGATAGCTTGAATTCATTATATGACACCTTTTAAATCATACCTGCTGCCTCTTGTTTCCTATGGCTTCCTGTCCCTGTGATTTCATTTTTGCTACCTTTTCCTGAAGCATCAAAACTTCTTGAGTAAGTCGTTCAATTGCTGGTATTTCTTCAGGGTCAATCAATTGCATCTGCAAGTCCTGAAAAAGAACAAGAATGTTTCCTGGAGAATTAAAGAACAAGAATGTTTCCTGGAGAATTAAAGAAAGCAACTTGGTGTTATAGAACTTGCATCTTGACAGAGGAAAACAACATTGCTCAAAACTTGAATGATATAATTAATTTTCAAAAAAGAAGCTTTCAAATTAAAAAACTAGCACAGGTCTGGGATTAAAGACAAAACAAAAAGGTCTGTTTTATATTAAACATCCTACTGCTTATAACTATATATAATATATTGGTATTAAAAATGTAAACTTTCTACTTTCTGGAACAAAGGCAAAGAAACAGGAAATCAATACAATTTGCTCACTATTACAAACACCGTAAAATCTGCAGAAAGACAAACCTGAAAATATTTTTGTAAGCAATCTAACCTAGACTCATCCCCAGCAGTCTGCGCCTGTCTTCAACAGTGAAAAGATACAGGGCAGAAAACATCCTGCAGCCAAGAAGGCTCCACACACATTTGCATAACTCAGGTGACCCTGAGGACACAGGTAAAGGCCTCAATGATTCTCTAAAACAGTGGTTCTCAACCTTCCTAATGCCGCGACCCTTTAATACAGTTCCTCATGTTGTGGTGACCCCCAACCCCCCATCCAGCTGGCCGGGGGGTGGTGGTATCAAAAACTTGACCAAAAAAAAAAAAAAGGAAAAAATGGTAAAGTATAGGTAGTCCTTGACTTACAACAATTCGCTTAGTGACTGTTTGAAGTTACAACAGCACTGAAAAAGCGAATTATGATCATTTTTCACACTTATGATTGTTGCAGCATCCCCAGGGTCATGTGATTTACATTTGGATGCTTGACAACTGATTCATACTTATGACGTTCAGTGTCCCAGGGTCACGTGATCAATTGCCAGGGGGCGTGGCCAGCTGATCACTGAGGTTGCAGAGTGCCTGTGGGGGTGAATCTGTGGGTCTCTGGGATGGGACTGGGGTGGGTGCCAGCCTTCCTTCCCTCCCTTTCTCTCCCCTTGTCCCTTCCTTCCTTCTTTCCTTCCTTTCCTTCACCTCCCTTAGTCTCTTCCTCCTTCCCTCCCTCTTTCCCATTGTCCCTTCCTTCTTTCCTTCCTTCCTTTCCTTCACCTCCTTCTTAGTCTCTTCCTCCTTCTCTCCCTCTCTCCCATTGTCCCTTCCTTCCTTCTTTCCTTCCTTTCCTTCACCTCCCTTAGTCTCTTCCTCCTTCCCTCCCTCTTTCCCATTGTCCCTTCCTTCTTTCCTTCCTTTCCTTCCCCTCCTTCTTAGTCTCTTCCTCCTTCTCTCCCTCTCTCCCATTGTCCCTTCCTTCCTTCTTTCCTTCCNCCTCCTTCTTAGTCTCTTCCTCCTTCCCTCCCTCTCCCATTGTCCCTTCCTTCCTTCCTTCCTTCCTTCCTTCCTTCCTTCCTTCCTTCCTTCCCTCTTTGTCCCTTCCTTCCTTCCCTCCCTCCCATTGTTCCTTCCTTCCTTCCCTCTCTCATTGTCCCTTACTTCCCTCCCTCTTCGTCCCTTCCTTTCTCTTCCCCTCTGTGCCCAGGAAGGGACAAGGGGAGGGGGACAGGCTGCCAGCGTGGCTGGCGACTTTGCTGAAGGTGGCCATGGCGACATGCCAAACCTGCCTGTGCACAGGCAGAGGAGCGCTCCGCCCAGCTCACTTGCTCAGCTTCGCAGGAAAATATGCCGCTTGCTAAGTTAGCAGAAGCGCCAGGATCAGCCCCGGGCTACAGCTGATTCGCGCTTCTGCTAAATTAGCAAGCAACATGTTTTCCAGCAAAGCTCGAGCAAGTTTGCTGGGCAGGAGCGCAGGACAGCTGCTACAGCTGATCTGCTTCTGGGCTGCTCAGAGGAAGTGTGGATCAGCTGTAGAGGCTCGCCCCGATCCTGGACAAGAGGGAAGGAAGGAAGGACGGAAGGGCCAAGGGGAGAGAGGGAGGGAAGGAGGGACAAAGAGGGAGGTGAAGGAAAAAAAGGAAGGAAGGAAGGAAGGAAGGAAGGGACAATGGGAGAGGCAGGGAAGGAGGAAGAGACCAAGAGGGAGGGAAAGAAAGGAAGTTCCAGCCAGCAGAGGCTTGGCAGCCAGGCTGCCGAGGAACAGAAGAGCGCAAAGCCAAGGAGAAGAAGGTGGCAGTTTCCTCCCAAAGGGGGCTCCTTTTCTCTACCCCTTCCCTGGGCTTGTGGGGAATTTCTCGTCACCAATGCTGATAGGTGCTCCTTTGAGCCTGCCGCAAGCTTTCTCGCCCCCTTTGCTTCTCCCCCCCCCCCCCGCTTTCGTGAGGATTGTGGTGCCCTTGGGAAGCCGATCGTGCTTTGAACCTTAGGAGAGGAGGAGGAGTCCCTTCCTCCTTCCCTCCCTCTCTCCCTGTCAAGCCCCGGTGGGCTCGACATGAACGGGCGGGGGAGGACAGGCGGGGTGGCAAAGGAGACCGGCGGCTGTCGCCAGACCTCCTGGCTGACAAGCACAAGTTCGGGGGTCACCAGCTGACGGGTGCAGGAGTTGGTTGCTGCAGCGGCCTCCCCTTCGCTGACCTGTGTGCACGAGAAGAAGTCAATCCGGTTGCTGCACAATGAGTCCCTGGGGAGGGCGGGGCCTTGCTCTGCGCCTGCGCTCTTCATGCACCCCCTGCAGGGCACATTTGGTAGAGTTCGTGCAGACTGCCGCCAAGCAGCATATTTTCCACAAACAAGTGAGGTGGAGCGGAGTGGGAGAGGGAGGCGCCGCCGCGGGGGGGTAAAGAGAAGGCGGTTGACAAGCCCTGCCTAAGACCATCGGAAATATGTGTTTTCCGATGGTCTTAGGCAACCCGTGAAAGGCTCGTGCGACCCCCAAAAGGGTCGCAACCCACAGGTTGAGAACCGCTGCTCTAAAAGAAAGCAAATGAACTGCTGTCTGCAAGGATGATAAATCCTTTCATTTCCCACCATCCAGTCAGAGCTGAATAAGCTTCTTGGATGAGAAGTGAAACATCTTCAAAGAAAAACAAGAAAGTCCAGTTGCCTCCTGAAACAGCACCTTTGGGACAACTATGACCTGGATGACTGAGAATCTTCATAAACATTCAACTAACCTTAATTAGTTCTTCTTTGATCTGGGTACTTCTAGTAAGAGATTCAATATCAGAGGATTGAACTTGCAGCTCCTCCTCTTGGGAAGCCACCACAGACTGAAGAGCAGAGAGTTTCACCTAAGGGGTTGAGATGGGAGAAAAAAAATGAAGACAATTTTGTACCCAAAAATCTCAAAATCCCTTGATAGTGACAGACCAACCATTTGGTACAATGATCTTTTCTATAATGGAATTTTGGATCCTATGGTCTAATAGGATCTAATAGTCCAGAACAATCTTCCTTTGATTAGAAGAATAGGTGTTAGGCATTAAACACTATTTTAACCAAGCTAAAAATTGAGCTGCAAATTCCATTGTTCTATGGGTCTCATAAAAGGAGGAGAATGGCTGGGAAAAAGTGCTCCATAAAAAACAAAACAATTTATGACTACGGAAAATTAAAACCAAACTATGGAATAAAGTCACTTCCTAGAAGTATGGAACCCAATAAAGTTGAAAGCTGACCCAGTTTCAAATGTATAGCCACCACAATGCCCCCAAGGTCATTCATACTTGAGGGTGAGAAGCAGACCCCTCCACCCCCACAACACTCAGGGGGGCTGGCTGTTTCATGCCCCACTGTGGAACCTTCCGAGGTGTTTAGTGCTTCTTTGGCAAGGAGGCTTTTTATTGTGCTGCTGGGCTTCTTTCCCTGGCCTCCCTGGGCTCATGCTGCAGCACCTCTGTAAGTTGCAGGTGGCCTGCACTGGGCCTCCCAATACCACCTAAGACACCTGTACTTTGCTTAATGACCCATGTATTCCTTTAACGGTTGCATCAGCGAGAGCAGGATGTGGGTGCCGTTAAGTGATACCATGTCTTTTAGCAGCCATCACCACTTGTGACTGTAGGGGACAACTGTAGTTACAGTCATATCTTAGGATTACCTGTACAACTAGTAAATTGTTTTATGTGTTAAAAGTGGTCTGTAGATATTTCAGGATTCCTCAAACTTACCGTGCTTTCTCTTTCTTTTTGTGTCAACAATTCAAGTTTCTCTTTTGCTTTAGTAAGTTCCCTCTCAAGTCTAGCAGTTGTTTGCAAATCATCTGAAGAGAAAGTAAAGGAATCTTAGACAAATAGTATATAACAGATGGATCAGACTATTCAGAAATTGTTTATGGACCAACCTTTATCCCTCCTGGGTTTACTGCTATCTCTGTTAGAAATCATGGCTGGGATGTTCATGCTAAAATCTTCTTGCCTTGGTGCCTTAGAATAAAAATAAAATGTGCATACTTATTTTACTAAAGACAAGTGATTGGCACAAGCAGGGGGCACAGCTGTTAACTGTGGGCTGGCCAAATTTTGATCACTTGACCACAGGGGTCCTGCTAACATCAAGAACTAATTGTAAGCCCATTTTTTTCAGCCTAATTGTAACTTTGAACAATCACTGAATGAACTGACATACAGGACTACTGTAAAGTTGATTTTGTATACTTTATTCTTAATAAGCTCATGCCATTTCCAAATAATTAATGTACTGTTTCAACTGTCCATAACCCAACCACTTATTAGCCTATTCTAGAAAGGTTTCCTTTATTGATTGAAGATGACAGACCTACATAGCATTTCCCCCTTTTCAAAGATGGACCTATTACTATGCAAATCACCAATTCTACATAAATTCTGAAGAGCAACAATGTTGAATAGTTACTCAAAACCTTTGCTTAGATGCAGAATTCTATTTTAAAATACCATTTGTTTAGCCCTTGCCACTCTTTCCTTTCAGTTCATAACAAAACTACTGCTCTTGCCTCTTGCCATCTGTGGCTTGCCTGATATTCATCTGCCTAACTGTACTGTCTCATAAACCCAAATACTCTTACTTCAGTAGAGCCCTCTTGTTGTACAAACTGAACAATAGAAGACTCCATCTTCTGATGAAGAATTTGGCTAATCAGTTGCTGATTCAGGATTAGCAGCTCAGAATTCTTCTCTAGAAGAACCTGTGCAATCTTCTTGGAATATATCTAATTATACAACAAAGCCAGGAGAGAGAAAGGCAAGCATTAATAAATGAATCACACAATAAAAATGTTCAATATTATATTTACATACATATCTATACTTATTGACCAGACAAATACAATTTATTCCCAATTTTACAGAAAAATGTACAAATATTTTTGAGCATCACTAATTTAAAAGAAAAATTAAAATTATTAGGAAACCAAAAATCAGCAGTCAAAAACAAAATTTTGAACACTTAGAAAAAATAAGAGAAGCAAAAAGGCCGAATATATTTATTTTAATATATGTTTTGATTTCATTACAGAAAAGACCCTGAACTTATGCCTCATGATCAAATCAGCAACATAAAAGAATTTATTTAGAATGGGTACTTTAGTCACGGCATCTTTCTTGAGAGATGATGAAAATACACTATCACGGCATTTACCACCTTCTTCATTCAGGCAGATGGAAAGAAGAAAAGCAATATCTGATAGCCCTTGTTTCTCAAGTTTTTTTTTTTTTTTTTTACTAATCTTCAGTTCATAAAAAAGCATTTTTATAAAAAGTAAATAAAATAACATCAAATTCCCATTTAGCAAGAACAGATTTTTAGAATGATAGCCAGACTATGGATCTGTGGACATTCCACCGGAAGGCTACTTGGGATACCTCTGCTGAATATTCCAGGAATAGGATAATGGTGAAATTTCATTAAGAACAAGATTCTTAGTTTCATTGTGATTTTATTGTATCTGGCTCCTCAACCAATGAATAAGTTTTCTTAAGATCCAAACAAGAATATAAATATGGCTGGATGGCCATCTATAGAGGAAGATGTAGTACTAGGCAGGAAGTAAACTAGATCAGTGGTTCTCAACCTTTCTAATGCCGCGACCCCTTAATACAGTTCCTCATGTTGTGGTGACCCCCAACCATAAAATTATTTTCGTTGCTACTTCATAACTGTAATTTTGCTACTGTTATGAATCGTAATGTAAATATCTGATATGCAGGGTGTATTTTCATTTATGTTCATGAATTGAACATAATTAAAGCATAGTGATTAATCACAAAAACAATATAGCAATGCTCGCTGGAGAAGCTTACTCTTCCTTGCTCAAAAATGTTGGGAAGGAGGGAAGGGGAAGGAAGGAAGGAAGATTGAAGGGGAAAGGAAGGAGATGGAGAAGGAAGGAGATTGAAGGGGGAAGGAAGGAAGGAAGGAAGGAAGGAAGGAAGGAAGGAAGGAAGGAAGGAGAGATTGAAGGGGAAGGGATGGAGGTGGAGAGAAGGGAGGAAGATTGAAGGGGAAAGGAAGGAGATGGAGAAGGAAGGAGTTTGAAGGGGGAAGGAAGGAAGGAGAGAGAGATTGAAGGGGAAGGGATGGAGATGGAGATGGAGATGGAAGGAAGGAAGGAAGATTGAAGGGGAAAGGAATGAGATGGAGAAGCAAGGAGATTGAGGGGGAAAGAAAGGAAGGAAGGAAGGAAGGAAGGAAGGAAGGAAGGAAGGAAGGAAGGAAGGAAGGAAGGAAGGAAGGAAGGAAGGAGAGATTGAAAGGGAAGGGAAGGAGAAGGAAGGAAGGAAGGATGGATTGATCTTTGGAAAGTCATGTTTTTCCAGATGGTGATGAACTGCAACTCCCAGCATTCCCCACTCTTCCACAGTGCTTTTTAGGGCTGCTGGGGATGGTAGTCCAGTAAGGTCTGGAGACACACACAGATGCCCTCCGCTGGCGAGGGAGGCGGGCCGGGCGGCAAGGGGGAGGCTCCGGCACGGTGCGGAGGGCGGCCGGGCAACCAGGAGGCGTGGGGATCGGCTCGGCGCCGCAGCTCAGCCAGCAGCAGCAGCGAGGGGGAACAACTTTCATCCTTATCAGACCCGGTTCCCTTCTGGTCGACCCCCAAATTATCTTTCCTCTCTTTCTCTTTCCTCTTTCTTCTCTTTCCTCGCTCTCTCCCTCTTTCCTCTCTCTTTCCCTCTTTCCTATTTTTCTCTTTCCTCTCTCTATTTCTCTCTCCCTCTCAAAGATCCTTAAAATCTCTCCCTCTAAAAGATCCTTAAAATCCTTAAAAGTTATGCTTGGGCGGAAGACTTTTTCTTTTACAGATGGAGTGGGTGGGCCCGACATTCGCGGGCAGGCAGGACCACACCCGCCGAGCTGTCACCTCCCCACCGCCCTCCACGCCAGCCGGCTCTGTCGCCGGACCTCCCAGCTGACGGGCGCAGGTCTGGGGGTCGCCAGCTGACGCTTTGGCCGGTGCGGAGGGCAAAGGGGAGGCCGCCGCAGCGCCGAACTCCTGCGCCCGTCAGCTGGGAGGTCTGGCGACGGAGCCGGCTGGCGTGGAGGGCGATGGGGAGGCGGCGGCTCGGTGGGCGGGGTCCTGCCTGCCCATGAATGTCGGGCCCACCCGCCCCATCTGTAAAAGAAAAAGTCTTCCACCCAAGCATAACTTTTAAGGATCTTTGAGAGGGAGAGAGAACGCCAGCAGTTCTGTGCCACGGAGGCTTGAGACACGGAGGCATGGGACGCGGAGCGGCGCGGCGCCATGGGAGGCGGCAGGACAGGGGGAGGGGTTACCTGCATCCTGCCAGCCGAATTCTGGAAGCCTGCCTGAATGAAGAATTTTAGGGGGTGTTGAAAGCGAGATTAAGGCCATAGATGGCTGCGTAAGCTGTAAGGAGAGTGGAAGGGAGGCGAATTTGGGGTGGAGCAGAAAACGGGCGGAAGGCCAGGCCCCACGTACGCCAGCTACCCTCCCAGCGCCCACCGTTGCCCCGCTAGTCTTACCTTGGCCACCGCCCGTTCGGTGCGGCGGCAGGCAGGCCCAGGCGCTCCTGGGCGGCCCTCCCACCCCTGGCCCTCTTTTACTTACATTTAATAGTTGCTCAGCAGGGAGGGTTGGAAACTTCCAGAAAGCTCGCCTTAGCTGCAGACAACTTGCAGCAACGTTTGCCGACTAGGACTTTTGGCGGGCTCAGCAGGGCAGAGACAGCCTGGACAATTCCTATTGGCTTTTGAAAGCCAATAGAATTAGACTCTATTCAAGAGAGTCTATTCTATTGGCGTTCGAAACCCAATCTATTGGCTTTCGAACGCCAATAGAATAGACTCTCTTGAATAGAGTCTATTCTATTGGCTTTCAAAAGCCAATAGAATAAGAGGGAGTAGCACAGCTCATGGAAAAGGGGAAAAAAACAAAAAAAAAATGTTGGACTGCGTTTCATAAGGATTCTATGAGGAAAAACTCCAGGACTTTGGCAACCCCTATGAAATGGTCGATCGACCCCAAAAGGGGTCGCGACCCACAGGTTGAGAACCGCTGAACTAGATGATCTGTAAGTTTCCTTTCACCCTTTCCTTCTGTGATTCTATGATCAGACTGATTTTTTCACTCACAGTGTCCCACTTACATAACTTTGCTGTTCTCTAGTATTCCATGCTTGAAGTAACTCCTCAAGCTCAACCACTGGGTCTACAACTTGCCGGCTCTTGTCCCTTAGGAATTCTTTTATGATCTGATCTTTTTGCTGAAGGTGAAGGTGCAGGGCTTCCACGATGTCCCTTTGTCCAGGCTCCAGATTGCAGAGCAGTGTTGCTGAAAGGGTCTAAGACAAGAAAGATAAGCCTGGAGAAGATCAGCCTTCTATCCCCTACATGACTTTTTTACCTTTGCGGAACTGGGGTGGGCTGCCAGTTTGACACTCCTACCCTACAGCTTTGTTCCTGCCCTAACTGGAAAACATTAATAGCAATGTTCCATCAGCAGCATACTCAATAAAGATAGCAAAATGCCTAAGCCATATGCACCATTGGTTTTGCACCATTGCAAAAAACTACTTAAGAAAATGGGATAGTATGTCTTATGCATCCCAGCCACTGTGCTCTAAATCTTAAAATGACATAATTGTTCTCTCAAGTCTTGAATTGTTGATTCCTGTCTCTTCAGCTTCTTTCCTAACAAGCTGAACCACAAGTCTTACCTCTACTTCTTTGTTTCTGTCATGAAGCTTCTGGATAAATCCTTCTTGTTCAGATTGCCACTTCTGAGATTTTGCTTCTATATTCTTGATCAGCCATTGCAAATTCTGGTTTGCTGCTAACAGCTTCTCCAGTTCCAGGTCCTTGGCTTTCAGCAAGCTCTCTAGACACTGTGAACAACAAGAACAAGAAATAGCTCAAGATAAGACAAATCAGTATTAATTCCAACCCTTTTTTACAGTTTTAAAGCCAATCATATTAGGATAAAAGATAAATTATCCATGAAGCAAACATGCTCCACCCACCCAAGCTGAAATTCTATTTCTTACAGTAGAAGAAGGGAATTTAATGCCTCCAGCTATTTTGGATTGCAACTTCTGCAATCCCCAACCGCTACATTGGCTGGCATTCATGGCACTTCAGTCCAAAATAATTAGGAACGCTAGATTGTCTTCCCTAACTTACCAAGTTTTATTCAATCTTAGATCAGAAACAGAATAACAGAGTTGGAAGGGACCTTGGAGGTTTTCTAGTCCAATCCTATGCCCTTTCAGACAAATGGTTGTCCAAAGATAATTTATATATAGTAAAAAAAGGAATTTTATGTAGTATTGAGATCTTACAAAATGTCACAGTCAGGATAGGCATGCCAGGATAGATAAACCATTGGCCTGCTAACTTACCTATATAAAACCAATCTAAAAATTAAATATTAGGTGTGAACTTCTTTGATTCACCTTCAAGCCATGGTTGCCAAAAACAATTGCATTTTAGTTTCAATGTCACTAATTGTTAAAAAACTATGGCCTGTAATGTAACCAGAGCAACTATCCTTATGGTAGCAATTTACCTGGATAGTAGCTTTGTTGCCGGAAATAACTTGGTGTAGACCTTTCAGATCACGATTTTGTTCTTTTATGGACAAATAAAGCTGGTTCATTTCCTGTTCTTTATCTTCAAGTGCAGAGAACTTCTCCCCTATTGCTTGCTATAACAGAATCCCCCCCCGAAAGTATTGCATGAATAACAAGAGGCAAAAAGTTAAATACTCAGACGGGGGGTCTTGCTGCAACTGCAACTTAAATAAGCTTTATTTTTTCTTGGGTTTCCATAATAGCAGTGCAGCTCAAGGAAAATATGTATTTAGCTTAAGGGAACACTGACATGAGAAGGTTGCAAATATGTATTTTCTTGGGATCAAGCAGCTAGCATTCAAGCTGCAGTTTCCTTAAGGCAGCATTGGCAGGTGCAGTAAACATGTGCATACCCAGCAGTACTTTTTCCATTTTGAATCTGACTTACATATTTCTAAATTAGAGAAAAACAAAACTCACTTAATTAAAAAAAATAAGTTGACATTGTCAGCCGGATCTCCAGTGGATTTTCGAGGCTTGCTGCTATCAGCTGCCATTGAAATGGGGAGGAGGGTTTAGGTATTTGTGGTGGGAAAAGGGTTGGTGTGTGAGTGTGTCTCCTGGGAATTGGAAGGGAGGTTTTTACTCATGAGCTATGGCACTACTGAGTGAGTTAGTTTACACTTCTCCAAGGCCAACTCTACTGAGACTCCGGAGGCAAGAAACACCTGTGGAGGACCTGTTTCCCATAACATCTTACTGGACGTTGATTGGACTCTTTGTGCTGGGCTCTGGGGGGAGGGATTTGGGATGTTTTGCTATGTGTAACTTGCACATGGTTTTGCCTCGGATCCTGCGTGCTTTCCCTGCTATCAGTTCTTTCTTAGTAAAAGTACCTCTTCCCTAAATCAGTGGAGTTGAGGATTTTCTTTCTTAGGATTTGAACAGAGGCAATCTTGACATTAGGCAAGATCTGGTTTACCGGCCAACTTCGAGACTGTAGTCTACTGTGGGGGCCGAGCACCCAATGTCCACTCACAGGAGCAATCAGGAAAAGACTGGAGTATGGGAGTGACTCCTCTGAGGTTGCGCCACATTCGAGATGAAGCGGAGTGGCTGGAGGAGCTGGAGCTTGATGAGGAACCTATCTGAGCCAGATGGTCGCTGGGCAGAGGGCGGCCGGAGGACCCTGAAGACCATCCACTGGGGGTGACTTTTACCCAGAGGGCACTGAAGACCCCGCAGAGCGGACAGGAGAGAAGGGGAGTGAGACAAAGTTCCTCTGTCTGACTCAGACCACGAAGACCTCATGCTGAGCCACACATTGTTATCTGCTGTAGGAGGTGATCAAGAATCAGAGGGTCAGGGAAACCCTCGCCCAGATGACCACCCAATAGGCCCGCAATGATGATGGCCAGGAGGAACTGGGAACTCTGACCCCTCCGGAGGAGAGTGATATTGACTCTGACAATGACCCCCTAGCAAGTCAGCATGTAATCCTGATATTAGTGGTGTCCTCCTCGGGCACCCAGGGAAGGATGTTGACCCTTGGACACAGGGTGCACCAGATGTGTGGTCAGCCCAGAGATGATAGAAAAATTGAGACTGAGAAGGCTGAGGGTGCCTATAGCCTTTTGCCAACTGGATGGGCCGGTGGCGGGGGTAGCCCATTTTGTGACTGAGCATGTGGAAATGAGAATGGGGAGCCACAAAGAGACTGAGTTTTATAGTGGCACCTGGGATGGAGAGGCCCCTCTGCTTGGACTGATGTGGCTCCACAAGTGGAACCCTCATGTGAATTGGAGGAGGGGGCTCCTAAAAATCTAGCCTCAACCAACGGAAGGAGGGGAAAGGACCCACCTCCTGAAGTCAAAAGAATCAAGGTGGCAAGGGAATTGGTGGCTGCTGTGCAGGAGCACCAAAAGGGAGAGGAAAAAATTCCAGAATCCAGCTGGCTATATCTAGAGTGGCGGCCTCAGTATTGTTCCGGGAGAAGAGAGATAGCTTATAATAATTCAGGTCACAGTAGCACCTGATTTACCTCTTTCAAGATAGCTTCTGGCCAGGATTTTGTTCCAATGTCAGAACTGCGCCAGGAGAAGCATGACTTACTCCTTGGTGGAGTGGATCGAGCAACTTCAAAATACCTGGCCAGTGACATGTAAAGCATTCAAAGATGTGCATCAAGCCCACAAGAAACAAGCTGATAAAAAGAGAGCTAAATCAAAAGAATTTAAAGTGGGTGATAGAGTGTATTTGTCCACTAAGTATTTACAGACTACCCAAAAATCAAAGAAACTGGGGCCAAAATATGTGGGTCTATTCACCATTGTTAAAATAGTCAACCCAGTTACTGTGCAACTGGATCTACCAAAAAGTCTTAAACGAATCTATCCTGTGTTTCATTGCAGTTTGCTTAAGTCTAGAATTATGTCTCCTCTTCGCCCTGCTCAGCCAACTCCTCCAACACCTATTCTTATAGAAGGGGAACAACATTTTGAAATCAAAGAAATCTTAGATGCCAGGAAACTTAAAGGGAAAATACAATACTTAGTGGCTTGGAAGCATTTCCCTTCTCTGCAGTCTGAATGGGTGGATGCTCAAAATGTTCGAGCCCCTAGGTTCCTTCAAATGTTTCACAGAAATTATCTGGACAAGCCCAAGTAAAAATTATGTTCCCTAATATTTAACTGATGTTGGTTACACTGTATTTCCCATGCTATTTTTGTATTTTGAATTGTTTTTCTTTTGTAGGGCTAAAGCCCCTGTTGAAGGAGGGCTGAATGTCAGCCGGATCTCCAGTGGTTTTTCGAGGCTTGCTTACTATGGGCTGCCATGGAAACAGGGAGGGATGGGCTTAGGTATTTGGGGCGGGAAGAGTGCTGACTCCTAGGAATTGGAAGGGAGGTTTTTACTTATGAGCTATGGCACCACTGAGTGAGTTAGTTTACACTTCTCCAAGGCCAACTCTCCTGAGACTCCAGAGGGAAGAAACATCTGCAGAGGAGCTGTTTCCCATAACATCTTACTGGCTGTTGATTGGACTCTTTGTGCTGGACCCTGGGGGGAGGGATTTGGGATGATTTGCTATGTGTAACTTGTGTGCAGTTTTGCTTCAGATCTTGCCTGCTTTCGCTGCTATCAGTTCTTTCTAGTAAAAATACCTCTTCTCTAAATCAATGGAGCTGGGGATTTTCTTTCTTAGGATTTGAATGGAGGCAGTCCGGTATCACACATAGAAAGGAAAGGAGTACACTGCCTCAAAGTCTATCCCAAACTTAAACAAAAATTAACAATCAAGAGATTTTCCTAGAAGTTTCTGCAAGTACCTCCAGGGCAGCATCTTTGTCTTTAATTAGTTGCTGCAATTTCTGTACCATTTTATCAGCTATTGTAGAATTTTTGTCCAAATCCTGATAATACGCAAAGAGATCCTTAGATTCCTAGGAAAACAGAAGACATATCAGAATAATCAATAATCTATATGAAAATGTATACATTTTTTTTCTATTAGAAAGAACCAGGAGTATCTAGTGACTTCCCTATAGCCTGTTCAGGGTCTAATACATTTTCCCCAAGATGTAATACAAAATTTGTATTTTCTCTATAAAGTATAAAAAAAACAGTGATTATTTTTACTGTTAACAGTTTCAATTTGTAATTGACTGAATTGTTTTACTAGTTTTACATATTTCTGTGGAAAATTAGGGAATTTCCATTTTGAAAAGATGCATACACATAAAACAAATAATTTTATGTTTCGCTATACTTGTTAAAATACAATGGAAAATTCAGTTCTTCCCATTTCCCCCAGTTTTGCAGAATATATTTTAGAGTACTTCAAACTTCCATTTTAGATTAATTACCCTAATAGAGTAATTGTCAAGCTATGAACCCTACTGCCTTTAGGACCACTGTAGTGCTGCTAGTTTGCCAACAGTTATGGGAAAGGGGGAAGGAAGAGTTTGGGATTCACAGGTGTTCCCTGTCAGCGTGAGAGCCAAAACTGTTGAGAGAAGGTTTTGACAGACCAAAGTTTCTTCTCATAACAATTGCTGGAAGATTTATTGGACAATGTGATCTGAACCATCAGAGAGGGGAGAGAAAGTTTTACTCCATTAATAATCTGTTTCCTGACACTGCTTCAGAGTTAGTAGGTTTCATTCTACCTTGCCGGGTTGATCATGCCTAATAAGGTTAACATTGGAGTTCACAATGCCTCTGGTGTTTTTCTTAGTTGGGCTTTTCAGCTGGAATATGACACTAAGCTAACTCTCCAAAATTTCCTAAATTAAGAGGTCCTGAGCCCCTACACCCTTCTGAAAGCCTCCAGAGGGGTGGTGAAGACTCAGGCGAAGATACCTGAAACGGAGAAGCTGGCTGGAACCAGGTCGGGATTGACCAGTGGGATTCTGGCTGGGGCCAAAAGCAGCATTGTGACGCTACTGGCCTTGACACGTCCTAAGGAGTGAGTTGAATGTGAAGAGCCGACCCTGGCCCTGGAATGGACAGGTGGAGCAGTGACATTCAACCGGCCCGAGTTGGAAAAGTGGTGAGAGGAGTTACGGAGAAACACTGAAGCCGAATTCTCATTGTACTGCCCTCAGTCCGAATGGGGCAGAGAGCCGGAGTAATGGGAGCGAGAGACCTCGGAATGTACAGCCCCCAAGGAGCGCTACTTGCCAAGATGCGGCAGCCAGTCAGTGAAGCAACTGAAGCAGAAGTTTAGCAGCCTAGAAGTTCGTGGAAAAGAGCCAGTCCCACGGCTGGATCCTAGACCCCGAAGGAGTTCGGCCCCACTTCTGGCAATAGGAACAACTCTTTCGCCCCAGCACTCGGCAGGAGCAGCAGCTGCGGTGGCTGGGAGAGCTGTCAGCCCACAGCCAGGGCCATCTCCCCAGCCTAGTCCCAGTCCGGGGCAGAGAGCCTGCAGTCCGCCGCTGGCACCTGCTACTCAATCTGAGAGAACAGACTGGCAACCACCACTGGGTCCTAAGTATGGAATTTGCCCGTGGATGTACCCATATGGTGAGGGCTGGATGCCAAGACCCGAGCCAGCACCAAGGCCATCTCTGCCCCCACTGCTGAGGGCAACATTTGACAGGAACCCTGAGAAATTGGTGTTCTTCCTCAATCAAGTCTGGATCCACCTTGACCGACATGGAGAAGATTACCCTGACAACAAGGACGAGGGTAGATGTCGTAGTGGTCAAGCTCAAAGAGAAGGTGGCGGAATGGGTGACAATTCTCCATGGTGAAGGCGCTCCTGAGCTAGCAGACCCAGACACATTTCTCGGTGGCCTCAGAGACCAATTTGGGGACCCCGCACAGATCCAGTGGGTGACAGTAAAGGTTCAGAAAATCAAGCAGGGGAGTATACCTGTGACTGAATGTATTCGAGACTTCAGGAGGATTGCAGGGAGGCTGAGGCACTGCCCAGAGCAGCTCTTGACCCAATATTTCTGATAAGGGCTGAGCTGTGTCCTATTTCACATATGCCTGGCCCAAGAGATCCCAAATTGGTTTAGTGACTGGTACCAGCTAGTCACCAGGGTAGAGCTAGACCTGGCGGTGTACAAGGATTGCGGGAGCTTCGGACCGCAATCGAACTAGAACCAGAAGAGGAACACGTTGGGGAAAAAACAGCCAGTGGCAGCATCCCTGGTGCCTGCAGGGCTGTCCGACCAGGGACACAGAGCAGCAATGTGCCCAGCACTGACCCCTCAGATGGCTTCCGCGGCTCTGAACCCCTCAAAGCCAAAGAAGCCACCAAAGAAAGGGAAGGAGAAATCACGAGCAGCAACCCATGTCATTGAGATCTCCCCTCCAGAGTACAAAGGGGATGGAATTCCGACTGAAGAGGGGCTGCTGATGACCCTTTACGACGATGAGAACGAGGGAGAAGAGGACCCGATGGTGAATGCATCTGTCAACCACCTTGACGTTAGGGTACACATCAAGGCATCCCACTCGGGGGTGAGGGGGATGGTTAAGGCCCTCGTAGACTCTGGCTGTTCCCGTTGTCTAATTAGTCAAGCCGCAGTGCACAGGCTAGGACTACATGTGAGGAAGCTCAAGAAACATGTGAAGTTTGAACAGGTTGATGGCATGCTGATAGGAGGCAAGGCTGCTTCCCATGTGATGGAGCTGGTGCAACTAGGTTGGGAGACCACCAAGAGACTATTTGTTTTATGGTTGCCCCAAAGATGGCAGAGGACATGATCCTGGGCCTGGCTCAGTTAGGCAAGTGGGGGGCCTGGATTTATTGGGAGAAAGCCTCAAGGTGAATGATTATGAGGAAGCAGGCCCTGAGCTCCCCTGACAAAGGAAACAAGCAGCCCAAAAAGGAAGGGAGACAAGGAAAACCCCCGATCGCAGCAAGGGAGCATCGGAGGAGCGGGAGGAGCAGCAATCCATCCTGAGGGAGTATCAAGACCTGATAGAGGTGTTTAGTGAGAAAGAGTGAGACGTCCTGTCCTCTCACCGCCCCAGGGACTGTGCTATCAAGATCATGATCAGGGCAAAACTTCCTAAGCCAAAGATGTACTTCATGACTCAGAGGGAGATGAAGGAGCTGAGAGAGTACTATATATTGAAAAAAAATTAGCAAGGGGATTTATCCAGGCAGCAAAATCCTGAATGGCGGCCCCAGTACTATTTAAAGAAAAGAAAGATGGGTTGTTGAGATTATGCATTGATTTTCGTGGGATCAACAGCGTATGCTGGAGAACATGTACCCTCTCCCTCTTATGAAGGATATACTAGGCCATTTAGCCAAAGGAAAAGTCTTTACGAAATTGGACCTGAGGGAGATGTACTACTGAGTGAGGATTAAGGAAGGTGATGAGCGGAAGACAGCCTTCAACTGCCCCCTTGGTAGCTACCAATTCAAAGTTATGCCATTTGGACTATAAGGAGCACCTGAAGTATTCACGCAACTCATAAATGAGGTGCTGCATGAACATCTTTATAAGGGGGTTTTAGTGTATCTTGACGATATCCTCATTTATACTGAGACCATGAATGAGCACGTGAAACTCGTATGACAAGTATTAAAAAAGTTATTGGGCGCTAAGCTGTATGCCAAGCTGTCAAAGTGCAAGTTTCACAAATCCAGATTGGATTACTTGGGTTATCATGTGTCATGAGAGAGGACAGAGATGGACCCGGGGAAGATGAAGTCCATCTTGGAAAGGCAGGCTCCTTGCACCTGCAAGCAGTTGCAGAGTTTCCTGGGATTTGCAAATTTTTACTGGCAATTCATCCCCTATTTCGCTACAATCGCCTTACCAATCACTGAGTTGTTGAAAACTGGAAAAAGGGGGGGGAGAAGCCCTGGCCAAATCAGTGCCTGAACTGGACTCTGGAGTGCCAAGTGACATTCAAAAAATTGAAGGGGCTATTCGCTGCTGAACCCATGCTAAACCACCCAAACCCTGAAGAACCTTTCATGATCCAAGAAGATGCCAGCACCGTGGCTGTGGGAGCTGTCCTCCTCCAGCGCAATGGGGAAGAGAACTTACAGCCGTGCATGTACACATTTCGCAAACTAAACAAAATGGAATAGAGATGGGCGATGTGGGAGAAAGAGGCTTTTGAGGTGCAGTGGGCACTACTAAATTAGAGGCAATTCCTGGAGGGAAGCAAAGCTCCCTTTGAAGTGTGGACTGACCATAAAAAAGTATGAATGGATCTGCAGAATGAGCTAACGTAATAGTCAATAGTACCTGCATTGCTATGTCAAATATCAGCAAACTGGTCAGAGCGTTTGCTGTTTGCAGAAGTGGCGTATAACAATGCAGTGCACAGTATTACTGGTTTCACTCTATTTAAGCCACTCTAGCCACAGGGGTGGAGTTCGTGCCCATTCCAGAGTGCCCACAACACCACCTTAAGTGACTGGGTGGGTTCTTTCCAAAGGGTTTGGAGCGATGTGAAGAAAACTTTGAATAAGGCAGCCAAAAGCCAGAAAAAATAAGGAGATAAGAAATGAGCTCCACAGGAGACATTCCGTGTAGGAGATAAAGTATACTTGTCTACCAAGTATCTTAAGTTGGGACAAAGTTGCAAGAAGTTAGGGACAAGGTTCATAGGTCCTTTCGCTATCGTAAAAATCATAAACACAGTGACTGTAGAATTAAAACATAAACCCAGTAATAGTAGAATTAAAACTATCGAGGCTATTACCCATGCTTCCCTGAAAGTAAGGCCTATCCCCAAAATAAGCCCTAGCTTGGTTTTGGGGGGTGGGCCTAATATAAGCCCTACCCCAAAATAAGCCCTAGTTTGGGGGCAGGGCATACACCTAAAAATCAAGCTAGGGCGGGGATGGGGGGTGTGGAGCTGCCCCATGCGCTCCACACCCAAGTACCTTGCAGCCAGGCCTCTCCTTGACGACCCACTTCTTCTGCGGCATCTTCTGCAGCCAGGCCTGCATTTCTCAGTCAGAGGCCTTTCCAAGAAGGCCACTGCAGCCGAGAATCGAGCTATGGATTCAATCCATAGCTCGGTTCTGCAAGACCTCTACAGCTGAGAACCAAACTATGGATTGAATCCACAGCTTGGTACTCAGCTGCAGAGGCCTTCTGGAAAGACCTGACTACAAAATACAGGCCAGAATGCAGGTGTAGAATGAAGCTGCTCCTTCGACCACAGAAGAAGTGGACTGGTTGGGCGAGGCTGTCGGTGCTGGAGGTGAGTATAAAAGACATCCCTGAAGATAAGACCTGGTGCCTCTTTTGGAGGCAAAAAAAAAAAAAAGACCAAGTCTTATTTTCGAGGAAACACGGTAGGTAAAGTGCACCAGTGTTCCATTGCAGCTTACTGAAACCACACAGGGGATCCACAATGAGACCAGTAGGGGAAGCAGCCCCCACCCCAATAGTGGTGGAAGGGAAAACACACTATGAGGTCAAGCAGATCCTCAATTCTAGAATCCACAAGGGAAAGTTGCAGTACTTAATCCAACGGGAGGGTTTTACTCTTTTAATTATCTGTTTCCCGACATTGCTTCAGAGTTAGTAGCTTTCATTCTACTTTGCTGGATTGATCATACCTAATAAAGTTAATATTGGAGTTCATAATGCCTCTGGTGTTTTTCTTAGTTGGGTTTTTCAGCTGGAATATGACAGTAATTGGATATTAACATATTATTCCTGTCTCTAATTATAATTTGTAAATAAGGTAAAAAGCCAGTCTGTATTTGCCAGTCTGTAACTGAACTCTGAAGCTCAATTCTTTTTTTAGAACTGATATTGCCATTTATCATATTCCAGTACCTGATACAGAGGCAGAGTACATACTATGTATATGGCTGGAAAGATCTTACCTTCTAGCAAACAAAAAAAAGTGATTTAGGAGGCTATTCTTCAAGTTCAATAGAATAGGATCCACAAAAAAAGCTCTTGGGCATTTATTGATTATAGTTTTTAATTATTCAAACTTTTTTTCACATCTTCTCTCCTGCCACTCTAAGCTCCTAGGATGGCTTTAAAAACCCATCCCTGTCTGATCCTTACCTGTAGAAGCTGTTCTTTGCAAGCTAGACTGTATGTCAAATCCTTAATTTTCTGGTCTTGTCTGTGCAGCCTCAACAATGTTCCCTTTTCTAAAGTATAACATTGCATGTTCTTGTTCTGTAGATTTGTTTTTAACTGCTGAAGAGTAGCAAAGAATTCCTAAAAGAAACAAGTCCCATTAGCTTTGAAGCAAATTAGGAAAAGAAAATCCTTTGACGCAAATTAGGAAAAGAAAATCCACATGACAAATAACAGAAAAATTGAGTTAAGTTTAGGGGCTGATACATTTAATTACAGCCCAAAATGAAACAGAAATATTTAAATCAAAATAAGGGAGAAACAGAAAATTATACTACTTGCCTTTTTCTTTTTCTAGTTAGAAGAGAAATTATTTTCCTGGAAAGGAATTCAAACTTGCACACATCATACACACAGTAGCCTTTTTTCAGGATAAATTAAAATTATCATTGAAAGTCAGAAATGCCCCAAACCCATTGGATAATATTAGTTTCAACCAATAATTTAAACAACATGGCTAAGTTGAATATAGCTGAATAAATGACCTGAGCATTGAAACACATTTTGATGTGGTAAAATGTTTTCATAAATGTAGACTGCCTTGCCATCTCCTGAAGATAAAATTTCTCATACTGGTTTAAGGTAGTGTTCTGAAAGTCATGTCATTTTATCTTCTCCTAAAGATTTGTTGGGCCTTTACTACTCTGTACCTACTACATGCGCTAACAATGCCTTTTTTTAACCATGATCTTATGATATGCCTAGCTGACAACTTTGATTCCTAATTAAATTCCTAACTAGGTTTCTGACGTGCCTAGCTGACAACTTTGATATATAAAAGACAGAGGAGGGAACTAAAGGAATAGCTATACTGGAGTTAATTCTTACTAATAGGGATAAGATTATTGAGGGAGTAGAAGTTATAGGAACTTTAGGGGAGAATGACTATTTCACCATCATGCAACTATATGTAACTAAATCAAGTCAGACTAATGTTTTGGACCATGGATCCCAACCCCGGGCACCAGCCCATTACTGGGCCATGAGCTTTTGCAACCGGGCCACAGAAGCGGCGGGCAAGCACATGCACGCATCCCCACTTACTCAAGCAGTGAATAAGCATGTGTGAGCATGCTCCATTTGCGTGAACGGCAGGCGGTATACCCGCCACTCGCCCAAATGGAGCTGTGCATTTGCTTGCTGGCTGTTCATGTGGAACCATCCCCTCCCCCTCCCACTGGTCCGCAAAGCCAGAAAGTTGGTGAACTCTGTTTTAGTCTTTCAGAGAGCTGATACAACAAGCTGAGAAAGAGATTAGGAAGGATTGCATGGATGGATATCCTAAAAGGAAGAACATTTCAAGATGCTTGGGAAGTCCTGAAAAATGAGATAATGAAGGTCCAAGCAAAAACAATATCACAGACAAAAACATCAGACGAGACCATTATGGTTGCATAACATGCTGTCTGAAAAATTAAAGGAAAAAGGTTAAATATAAAAGAGGTACACACAACTAAAACAGAATACCAATAAATAGTCTGAATCTGCAAGGTCAGAAAAGCTAAGGTCCAGAATCAGCTAAAACTATTGCCAATAATAATAATGTTTCTTTCAATATGTAAGAAACAAGAAGAAAGTCAAGGAAACTATTGGTCCACTAATAGAAGTAAATGGTAAGAAAGTAACAGGCAGCAGGGAGAAAGCAGAACTGCTTAATTCTTTCTTTGCATCTGTTTTTATGCAAAAAGAAGAAATAGCCCAACCTATCCAAAGCAATACTGAGGGAGATAAAACAGGTACATAAGACAAAATAGACAAGGAATTAATAAGAGAACACCTATCCACCCTCGATAAGTACAAAACATCTGGGTCAGATAGTTTACATCCAGGGTAAGTAGCTGGCAGATGTAATTTGCCAATGAATATAATCTTTTAAGGCTCATGTAACACAGGAGAAATAACAGAGGACTAGAAAAGAGTTAATGTGCTTCCAATCTACAAACAAAGGAGAAAAATGGATCCAGGGATCCTGGAAAAGTTAATCAAATGAGGATTTGTGAGCACCTGAGAGACAAAGAAGGTGATTACTAGAAACCAGTGTGGAATTGTTATAAACAGATCATGCCAAACAAATGTTATTGCCTTTTTTTGATAAAATAACTAAATTAGTGGATTAGCGAAATGCTGTGCTAGATAGTATACTTGGACTTCAGCAAGGTTTTTGACAAAGTAGACCACAACCTACTTCTTTGTAAGATAGAATAATATGGGATGGTCAGAACCACCACCAGATGGATTAGCAATTGGCTGACCAATCATACTCAGCAGTTCAATAGGATACCCCAATAGAAGTGGAACTCATTGCTTATCATCAAACTGGGTGGAATTGCTAACACTTTGGAAGATAGACTCAATATCCAGAAGGACCTTGACAGACTTGAACACTGGTCCCTATGCAGTTCAGTGGAGAGAAAACCAAGGTCCTTAAACAGAAAAAACCAAATACACAAGTATAGAACAGGCAGTACCTAGGTCAACAGTAGCAACTGTGAGAGAGATCTAGGTGTCCTAGTAGTCCACCACTTAAGTATGAGCCAGCAGTGTATTGCAGCTGCCAAAAAAGCCAATGCAGTCCTAGGCTGCATCAACAGAGGGATAGTACCATGGCAATGAGAAATGATAGTACTGCTTTACAGTGCACTGGTGAGACCGTATTTAGAATACTGTGTCCAGTTCAGAAATGTTTTTGGACAGCGGTGGCTCATGGCTTCAGAACGGAAATGAGCGTTGTCCCCTATAGTCGGCAACAAACAGAGGAGTAAAATCTGCAGGGACTCCTTTCTTTTCCTTTCTCTAACTGGGAGGATTATGCACTGACAATATGGTTCATGTTTCTCTCCTCTGATTGTGATATAGATGATTCAGAAAAGGTATCTTTCACCTTTATTGCTAAACCAATTATTCAAAAAGCATACCTTATTATGTCTCCAAGCTGCTTCTTTTTGTAGTTGTTCTTCTTGCAACGCTGTCTCTAGAAAGTGGCTGGTCCTTTT